GGGAGTATTTGCCTCTTTGAACTATGCATGGACTCTGACAGCATGGACTATGCATTTCTATATTTTTTGCACCTAGTATATGCCTGGTGGATAGTAAACAACCATTAATATGTTTGGTGAGTGAATGAAAGAATATGTAATATTCTATAATAAGAGCATTTTTTCTATCACTGCAAATAGGGTTTAATGATACTAAAAGGGACATTCAGTAGCATGATGAAAATCAGCAGCAGGTTTTGCTAATAGCTAATAGCATGCTATATACTTTATCCTCTTCCGTACATGCAAGCATTACTTTTCTTTTTTAAAGCATTATGGAAAATGAAACAAGCATGTCTTAAACTGTTGGCAAAGAGGCTTAATGACTATATATTTTATATTTGGTTGCTTGTAAAGTTACAAATATCTAACTTGTTAAATTTGGTTCCATTACAGGGACAACAGAGTGCAAAAACCTAAGTTATGTTGTATTATGCTATGATAGATTCTCTGTATAATTTTATCAAAGAGAATTTCTGAAACTAAAACAGGGGTAAGTCAGTTATCTCTTCTGGAAAGGAAATGTTTGTTTGTTCTAAACTAGTTCTGTATAATGTCAACATTTCAGTGAACAATGTGCTGTTTTAAAGAACATGCCAGTTAATTCAAAGACAGGCTGTGAGGTATAGAAAAATAGGAGTACATGTTTAGGTCAATGCGGAGACAACACCACTTGGGAAGTCCCATTTGATAATAATACCAGGTGCCTGCTTCACACTTTAATCTTCCTATTGTCAACATTTTAATCAATGATCAAATTTGCATATACCCATAGTAGGGAGGCACAGCAAACTTGAGAGAGGTTTGAAATTTCAAATACATTCCTGACCAAAGATAAAACCAACTAAATAATATTTAATATGCACAAATATAAATTCCTATAAGTAGGATTAAAAGTCATCAGTTTTACAAGGATAAGGACAATAGTGAGCTGGATTACTAATGTTTCAAATGAAAAAGATCCAGGGATCCTTTGAATTGATCCCAAATTCATCATATATCATTACAGTTATATGAGGTGAAGCATGGTGGAAAACCTGTGTAGGTTTAATTTCTGTATTGCAGATTCCAAGACTGGTCACTTACCCCTTATTAATCACTATGGGCTTTCTTAATCTTGGCTTTCTCACCTCTATGTTGGAATTAATCATAACAAATGTACAGGAATATTGTGACTATAAAATGAGATAATCATATGAGAATAATTATATAATTAAGATGACATCAAGTGTTTTTGGTAGGTGTAGGTTTCAGAACAAGTGTAGCACAAATCAGTGGACCATTATCAGACCAATTGCTATAAATTGTCTGAGGGTGGTAGCAGTTTTTTAAAAATATATATATATATTACATACATACATACATACATATTATATATACACATTATGTATATATGCATACACACATATATGCATCATTGTTCATTTTTGTACAATGTTTGATTCTCCTCTCAGCTGTAGTCTCTGTAAAATTCCCACCACCAAGTCACTAGTGAACCATCACCATAGTGTCTTGTGCTCTTCCTGCCCCTGTTTTAAATTTGAGGGTGGTAATTGTGTCTGACTCACTCTCTAAAGTAGTGCCAAGCACCTCATTGACCCTAAAAAGTTTATGTTGCAAAAATAGATTAATTTGAATGTTAGATCTTGGGGAGTCACGTTTGAAGAGAGAAAGTGTTATTTCAGATTGAATATAGAAGAAGAAAACCAAGATGAAGAGACTGTTATATGAAAATTAATTAAAATAGTTGAATATAGGTATCTGGGAAAAGATATATTTATGTTGAAATATCAAAAAAAATAAACAAAAATATAATATATATTGGCAACTTCCCTGTGAACACAAGTATAGAGAACAATAAGGGAGACAGAAAAGTGACTGAAGAAAAAAATTTTGCTTTTCTCTCATACTTCAGTAAGGTGAAATGTGAGGGCTCAGCAATCTTACAGATTTCATCTCGAGTTATTTCCATCACCTAGTTTCCTTGGGTAAATTATTTAGCTAAACCTCAGTTTCCTCTTCAGATGTAAACGAGTATTTATCACAATACTTTCTTTCTAGTTTTGTGAAGAAAAAGAGAGGATGCCAGGCAAGTACTCCTCATTGCTGGAAAAGTGCTAAAAATGTTAATTTCCCACCCATCATAGCTTCCAAAGCTGCCACTAGGGGGTACTGGAGAACCTTCAGGAAGAATTCAGTACCATATGAGCTTGGCATAGGACAAGGATTCTTAAATTTTGACATAGTAAATGTGTTAAGTGATCTTAGGAGGATTGTATGTAAATTTAGAATTAAAGAATGTTCTGCTTTAAAAATTGATTCTGAATGGCAGAGTTGTGAAGAGGCAGCTTCCTGGGATTGAGAGTGGAAATTCCCTTTATCCTCTCAGCACCCCCTCCACCCTTTGGATCTCCTTTCTTCTGGTAATCAAGACCCTCCCATGGCCTCTTTGGCAAGTGGTAATATTTTGTAACATCTTGCTTATTATGCATTTTATTGTTCAGGGAGATTCTTTGTCTCTGAGTAGAGAGAATTGTTTACATTTATCTATTGGATGTGGTTTAAGGGGAGGTTTGAATTTTGATGTTATTCTAGGAAATTATATATGTAGTCATTTTATATCTAATAAGACTTAATTGATACAGATTTTAATCTAACTTTTGTAACCCATGCGAACATATTGTTAAATCTGGAATTTTAGACACTGGGAATAAGATTGCAAGAGAAATATTTTGGGGTAAGAAGTACCTTCCTGGAATTCATTCAACTTTGGTTTTGACAGACCACTCATAATAACTTTCACCTTTCTGCTCCCAAATTAACAATAATCAAGCAAGAGATAGTTGGCTTCTGTTGTTAAATTCCAAAGCAAGTAATGAAAATTAAAAAAAACAAATTTATTATTAAATAGAAATTTGTTATAATTTGTTGTATTTCTCCCTTATGTTAAAAAAATCTACCAGGGGCAGTGGGATGGGTGGCAAATGGACTCTCTAGGTGAATCTAGAGTGGGCAGAAATGATACATGTCTGGTAGAGAGGAATGACTCTTTTATAATATCATCTTTATATATCATATATCAAGAAAATCTAAAATGATGCTAATGGTGAGTTGTTAGTTAGAAAGGAACATGATTCAACCTGTTTTCCAGTTTCTTCTCTCCAAAGTTATCTGTTTCATATAAGGATCAACATTTCCATCATTAACCCTAATTGTGCTTAGATAATTGAATCAATAAATTTTAAAATATTTAGTATTTGTGCAATGTTTGCTTCATCATAAGATAATTTGGGATTCTTGTTAAAAATAGATTCTTCTCAGAATATTTTGATTCAGTAAGTCTAGGTTGGTGCTCTAGAATCAGTACCTTTAAGAAGCTTTTTTTTTTTTTTTTTTTTAAGATTTATTTATTTATTTATTTATACAAGCACTGGGTACAGTCAAAAGCACTGGGTACAGTTTGGCTCACCAGAGCCAGAGCAGGGAGCAGAACAGACAAACTGACGAAATACACTGCTGAGGGGAGCAGCAGGCGGCAGGAGAGGTCTGCGTGCCATGTGGGACCTTCACCCAGTGGCCGGGATCGAACCGGTCCTGCAGAGGCTGCGGGCAGCTTCGCAACCCAGCACTCAACCGCTGCGCCACCAGGGAGTCCCCAAGAAGCTCTTTAGGTGTGTCTTAGTCATATACATTTGAAAAACCCAATATTAAAAAAAATCCTTTTTGGCATTTAGTTTAAACTTGCCAAGCACATGTGTTGGCAAACTTGTCATCCCCCTAATCGGTCAGCTTGTAGGGAAAGCCCTTCAGCTGTCTCTGCTGATGTGAAGAGTCTACTTTCTGTGCACTTGCCCCTGTCTGGAGCAGCCCCACCTCCTTAATCCTTCACTTAGGTATACCTGATACTTATCCTAAAGATATTGCTTTTGATTTCTGAGTCAAAACTTTGTTTAACCTTTTTGAACAAGAATACAAAGTAGGGCATGATTATAAATAGGGGTTTAACAGCTCAGGAATCATGTAGGTCCAGGTTTGAAGACCAAGCCCTCCAACTGAGTGACCGCAAACACGTCACTTAACTTCTCTGTTTCTGTTTGCTCATCATTAAAATACAGGTATAGTCATTATGGTTAACATTTTTTTTAATTTTATTTTTTAGTGGCATAAAATATGGCTAATGTTTATTATACTCAGTTACAAGTTTCTTACATGAATTATGTCCCTCAATCTTTTAGACAGTTCTATGAGATAATTACTTTTTTTCTAATGTTATCTCTACTCACAACTGAGAAAAATGAGACACCAAGATATAAATCACTTACCCAAGATCTCATACCTAGAAGGTGACAGGCTACTACATATGCAAAAGAGTGTGGAGAGGAATAATTATAACTCTTTACAGTTATCTAATCATGTATCTTTTTAATTTTGACACATATTCTGAAGGACAGTTAGCATTATCAATATTTGGGTTTGACTAATACAATGAACTTAATGAGTAGAATATATTTAATAATATATTTAAAGAGTTTCCTAGCAGTCCTACTAGAGTATCATCAGTAAAGAACACAAGCATAGTTTGTCAGAGAAAAAAGTACAGTAACAGTAGGAGCCTAAAAGCATCTGCTCAATGATTGGGTAGAAGTATTTTCTTGAAAAGGATCTCCATCATTTCTGTTTTGTAAAATGTTTTCTAATATTAACAGTATTGCCATTTTGACAATGGCAAAAATGGGCTTCAGGACAGTTGCCAGACCCACAAGAGAAGATCCTTTATATGCTGGGGCTTGCTACCTGGGAGAGAGGCCAGCCAGCTTATTTTATTTCTTCAGTTTCTGTGTAGTGACTTGGAATAATTCTTATCAAAATCACTTAGAAAATCCCTCAATCTGGTCTGCCACTAGCTATGATTCACCCTGCAGTAGCAGCACAACCTGATCAAGAGAGAAAATCTCACTTACTTTGAACCTCCACAGCCCTCCAATGTCTTCAGTTCTCTCAAAGCAAGTGGGCTCCAGGCCCTCATCCACAGAGCACTTCAGAGAGATCAGGCCACTGACCCCAGCTCCAATCACGGCCACCTTCTTTGTCATGGTCTCCTGTTAAGGAGTTGATTAATTTGTGTCACTTCCCAGGGGCAAAAGATATGAGACTCCTTATGGAGTGGTCTGGTAATCGTGTTTAAACATCATGCCAGTGGTAATTTAATAAGCAGCACTAATTGAATAAAATGCCTCATTAAACAAATCCCAGTCTCCTCTTCCCCTTGAGAGAAGCCAAGGGCTCTCGTTTTTGCTGCAAACCTTGTTTGCAGTGTCTTCTTTTCATATTTAAAAGAAGTCCATTTCACAAAGGCAAAGGATTAAGGAACAGAGTACTAGTAGTAGGAGCTAAAGCTCCAGTTCCCCTCTTTAGCTTGCCAAGTGTCTTCTTGCCAGCTTTCCCCCCAGATATCATCCTTACCTTTGTTTTTTGCCTTTTGATACAGTCTCTTTGGCAGAATAGTTTTCTCGGTTGGTTGTGAGCTGGAAGGAAGTCAGAAGCATTTTAAGAGTTGGAGGAGGTTGTGAGAAATGGGAGGAGCTTCTCCTTCAACATTCTGCCAGCTGAAACTCCAAGGACTTTGTGAGGAGTCCTGAATTTAACCAAGAGGCTCATAATCTGAGGTCCAGGGTAACGATGGAATGTCTTTGTAGTACAAACATACATTTACACACATACCTCATGCAGAAAATTAAAAATATGTTTCATAATGAATATAACCAAGCTCATTTGCAAATATGAATAAATAAAAAGAAGTTAAAATTACTCTTAGCCCTACCATACAGAGATGACTGCAATACTGTTGACATTTTGGTATGCCCTTCCAGGTATAAAATATAATTAATATAAAGTAATGTTATATACCAATTATAGCTTACATAAATCAGTACATATGTACATAAATAAATACATAAATAAAAAAAAAATAAGCCACCTAATTGACATTTGGGTCACACATTTTGTAATTAGCCTGTGAGCAATTCTCCAATTATATCTTCATTTCCTTCTCTAGTTAATTATGATCTCAATAGAAGCCCTGTAAGTAATAATTATTTCTGACAATCATACAGAGAAAACAAAATATCCGGATATGTTGACAGAACCCTTTAACCCTTGGGCAGATGGTTCTTATGCTCCCCTAGGACATAACTTAATTGGACATATTAGTGCACTTTTGTGTCAAAATGAACATTCACCTGTGTTCCCAGCAGCAACCCTCAACTTGGAAGCAGGCATCTTCTTGGCATCAGTACCAGCTGAGAAACTTGCTTTTCAGACAGCTCTGGCTGGCAAATGGGACTTAGATAGCCAAGTACCAACAAGTCCCCTAGGGAGAAGGGTGCATCCACAAATGAACTGCAAAACACCCCACAATTTTTGAAGTTCTTTCTGAGTTTTTGCCATTATAAAAATGCCACGATGAATACTTTTTAAAAAAAGATTTATTTATTTATTTATGCATGCAAATACTGGGGTACAGGCCAGAGGTGTGGGGGATGAGAGGCTTTACCAGAACAGGCAGATTGACTAAAATACACTGCTCAGGGGAGCAGCGGGCAAGACAGGTCTGCTGTGCCATGTGGATGGGTTAGCTTTCTGGCCAAGGATCGAACTTGATGCTGCAGTGGCTGTGTATAGCTTCACAAGACTGAGACTTAACCCCTTGTGCCATCAGGGAGGCCCTGCAATGAAAATTTTATGTATATCTGCTCCTCCTTACTTAATCATATTCTCAGGATAAATACCTTAAAAGGGAATTGCTGAGTGAAAGTGTGTTTACATTTTTAAGACTACGGTACTCCTCAAACTTTATTTTTTTTTTTTTTTTTTTTTTTTATATAAAATTATTTTATTATTTTTTTTTAAAATATTAAATTTTATTTTTATATTCCCCCATACAATTGCAAACGCCCCATTCTGACCCCAATCCTTCCCCTCCCGCCCCCCCCCCAAAAAGTGTCTCTGGTTCATAGTTTTTGTTGATTTTGATTTTCACTTTCTTATAGTTATTCATTTTCCTGGTCCCTTATTTAAGTTTTCTAGATTCCTGCTATGAGTGAGACCATCCGGTATTTTTCTTTTTCTTTTTGGCTTATTTCGCTGAGCATGATCCCTTCCAGCGCCATCCATGTTGCTGCAAATTGCATGTGTTTATCTTTTTTGAATGCTGAGTAATATTCCATGGTATATATGTACCACATCTTCTTGATCCAGTCATCTATTTTTGGGCATTTGGGTTGTTTCCAAAGCTTAGCTATTGTAAACAGTGCTGCTATAAACATAGGAGTGCAGGTGCTCTTTGGAATTGATGTTTCTGTGTCCTTTGGGTAAATACCTAGGAGTGGAATTGCTGGATCATATGGAAGCTCTATGTTTAGTAGGTCCAGAAATCTCCACACAGCTCTCCACAGTGGTTGGACCAGTATGCACTCCCACCAACAGTGCAGAAGAGTTCCTTTTTCTCCACACCCTCGCCAGCATTTGTTGTTGCTAGTTTTTTTAATATGTGCCATTCTCACTGGTGTAAGATGGTATCTCATGGTAGTTTTGATTTGCATTTCCCTGATGGCAAGTGATGTTGAACATTTTTTCATATGCCTGTTGGCCATTTGCATTTCCTCTTCAGAGAAGTTTCTTTTTAGCTCTTCTGCCCATTTTTTGACTGGATTATTTTCTTTGTTGTTGCTGAGTCTCATCAGCTCTTTGCAGATTTTTGTGATCAGTCCTTTATCATTAGTGTTGGGTGCAAAAATGTTCTCCCAGTTGGTGGGGTTTTCTTTGTTTTTGTTATTGTCTCTTTTGCTGTGCAGAAGCTCTTTAATTTGATGTAGTCCCAGCTGTTTATCTTTGCCTTCACTATCACTGCTTTGGGTGATGTGTCTGTAAAGATGTCTTTGATGTGCAGATCACGTAGTGTTTCGCCTATATTTCCTTCTATATATTTTATGGTTTCAGGTCTTATGTCTAGTTCTTTAATCCATTTTGAGTTGATTTTTGTGTATGGTGTGAGGTAGTGGTCAAGCTTCATTCTTTTGCATGTAGCGACCCAGTTTTCCCAGCACCATTTATTGAAAACTTTCTTTGCTCCAATGCATAGTCTTTGCTCCTTTGTCAAAGATTAGTTGACCATAAATCTGTGGATTTATTTCTGGATTTTCTATTCGATTCCATTGGTCTGTATGTCTGTTCTTGTTCCAATACCATGCAGTTTTGATGATTATGGCTTTGTAGTATAGTTTGAAGTCTGGAAGTGTAATGCCTCCATTCCCTTCTTTTTTTTCAGGAGAGCTTTGGCTATTCGGGGTTTTTGTGATTCCATATGAATTTCATCAATAATTGTTCTATTTCTTTGAAGAATGACATTGAAATTTTGATTGGAATAGCATTGAATCTGTATATGCTTTTGGAAGGATGGCCATTTTAATAATGTTTATTCTTCCAATCCACGAGCAGGGGATGTCTCTCCATTTCTTTGTGTCTTCTTCTATTTCTTTTAACAGTGTTTTATAGTTTTCTTTGTATAGGTCCTTTATCTCTTTTGTTAGATTTATTCCCAAATATTTGATTTTTTTTGTTTCAATAACAAAAGGGATGGTTTTTTTGATTTCTTCTTCTTCAGATTTATTGTTTGTGTATAGGAAGGCTACTGACTTTTGCATGTTGATTTTGTATCCTGCCACTTTACTGAACTGATTGATGAGTTGAATTAGCTTTTCTGTGGAGTTTTTGGGGTTCTCTATGTATAATATCATATCGTCTGCAAATAGTGATAGTTTGACTTCTTCTTTTCCTATTTGGATTCCTTGGATGTCTTTCTCTTGTCTTATTGCCCTGGCTAGGACTTCCAGTATTATATTGAAAGCAGTGGTGAGAGTGGACATCCTTGTCTTGTTCCAGATCTTAATGGAATTGCTTTCAGCTTTTCACCATTGAGAATGATGCTGGCTGTTGGCTTGTCATAGATGGCCTTTATGATGTTGAGGTATGTTCCTTGTATCCCAAGAATTTCAAGGGCTTTTATCATGAATGGGTGTTGCACTTTGTCGAAAGCTTTCTCAGCATCTATTGATATTATCATATGGTTTTATATTTCTTTTTGTTGATGTGTTGGATAACGTTGATTGATTTTCGGATGTTAAACCATCCTTGTGCCCCTGGAATGAATCCAACTTGGTCGTGGTGAATTATCTTATGGATACATTGTTGGATTCTGATAGCTAAAATTTTATTGAGGATTTTTGCATCAGTGTTCATTAGGGAGATTGGCCTATAGTTTTCCTTTTTTGTGTTGTCCTTATTCGGTTTTGGTATTAGTGTAATATTGGCTTCATAGAACGTGTTTGGTATTGTCCCTTCCTTCTCAATTTTTGGAAGAGTTTGTGAAGGATAGGCACTAATTCGGCTCTGAATGTTTGGTAGAATTCATTTGTAAATCCATCAGGTCCTGGGCTTTTTTTTGGGGAGGTTTTTAATTACCATTTCAATTTCGCTGCTTGTAATTGGTCTGTTTAGGTGTTCTATTTCTTCTTTATCTAGCTTTGGGTGATTGTAGAGTTGTAGGAATTTGTCCATCTCCTCTAGATTGTTGAACTTGTTTCCATATAACTGTTCATAGTAGTTACTGATTATTCTTTTGATTTCTGCTGTGTCCGTTGTGATTTCTCCTCTTTCATTTATGATTCTGTGTATTTGTGCTTTCTCCCTTTTTCCTTTGTGAGCCTGGCTAGGGGTTTGTCTATTTTTTATTTTTTCAAAGAACCAGCTCTTGGTTTCATTGATCTTTTGGATTGTTTTTTTAGTTTCAATTTCATTTATTTCTGCTTTGGTTTTTTATTTCTTTTCTTCTACTGGTTCTGGGGTTTTTTGTTGTTCTTTTTCTAGATCTTTGAGCTTCGAGATTAGGTTGTTTCTTTGAGTTCTTTCTTGTTTTTTGATGTGAGCTTCTATTGCTATATATTTCCTCTTATTACTGCTTTTGCTGCATCCCATACATTTAGGATATTGGTGTCCTCCTTGTCATTCATTCAAAGAATTTTTTAATTTCTTCTTTGATCTCCTCGTTAGTCCAGTGGTCTTCCAGTAGTGTGGCTTTTAATCTCCATGAGGTAGGATAGTTCCTTGCCTTCTTTTTATGGTTTATTTCTAGTTTGATGCCTTCGTGGTCAGAAAAGATGGTTGGTATGATTTCAATCTTGGTGTATCTGTTGATGTTTGTCTTGTGCCCAGTATGTGATCGATCCTGGAGAATGATCCATGTGCGCTTGAGAAAAATGTGTACTCCGTTTTTTTTGGTTTAGTGTTCTATAGATGTCTGTTAAGCCAAATGCTCTAGGTCCTTATTTAGAGCTTTAGTTTCTTTACTTATTTTTTGTCTTGTTGATCTATCCATTGTTGATAGTGGTGTGTTGAAGTCTCCACTACATATGTGTTTTCTCTGATGTCTGTTTTCAGAGAGGACAACAGTTGTCTGATATATTTTGGT